ATTAGTGCTAAATTTTCTCGCTTTTGTTTAAAATGTTATAGTCTCTGAGAAATTCAGAGCACATGCTCAGTGCGGAGTGGTCGCGCCTTGGAGGTGGGTAGCTTTGGGGATGGAGGTGTGTTTTGGTATTATAATGATATTATAATGAGCAAAATTCACCAAAAGGACAGCATTTTGTCAAAAACATGGCAGGCCATTGGCCCAGGGTAGTAAATATGCAGCTTATCAGTTCCGTTGTACCTTTGAGTTCCCATCTTTACACGGAGCCTGGCCGCAATGTCTCCACTCTACTCCACCCTCCGTACAGTTCCTCTTAGAGGCAGCACACCAGCTTCCCCTAGTGCAACAACATCTAAGGTTAGAGGCCTAAGGAACACTTTGGTAATGCAGCTACACTCCACCCTGAAAGCTTCTTCAATGCTGGACATTGTCTTTAAATTGTGAATATTAGATTAATCTTCCTAGTCACTTTAGGCAATTACTCCACAGTCTCTTGCAGAACATTGACGACCTTGACTGTGTGTCTACTCTGGTTCGATGTAAACAATTTTAAGTAGTAAACAGAAAATGTAGTCAATAAAAATATCGGTACTGTAACAACAACAACAACAAAAGAATCCAAACCCTAGGATTAGGTATTCATGAGTTATTTTCAAACAAGAAATGAAACCATCTGCATAGAAGTGACTGGGACATCTAAGGAAGTGGGTCAGTCTGATGGTTGCACAGTGAGTGATAAGACATGACTACCTGCACGAGATCAAGACTCAGCAAGGATATCAGCTAAGCTTCTTATTAAAGTGCTTTTACTTGCAGAAACAAAGTTTCAACCAGAAAAGGGATGAAATCCAGGTATTTGTTGGGTCCAGTATTTGATACACGTGACATCAAGAGGCCCAGTAATGCTGTGACTACCTTGATGGCAAAGTTGAAAGAGCATTCATTCACAGACTAAGCAAGATCCCAGAATGGAAAGGGGGCACTAGACACAGAGACCATTTTATCAGCACTCGTTTAGCATGGCCCACAGCTACACCAGTGCCACTTACATCCCATCACAAAACATCCCACCTCACAGACAGCACGTGTGCACCTGCAGCCCAGAAAGCCAACCATGTCCTAGGCCACAAAGATGATCAAGGGGCTGGAGCACCTCTCCTCTGAAGACACACAGAAGGAATTGGGATTGTTCAGCCTGGAGAAGACAAGGCTCCAGGGAGATCTTAAACAGTTCTCAACGTGCTCTGACGAGTGCCAAGTAAAGGGCAATAATCACTTTACTCTCTCTTCTGCCTCGACTCCTGCTGATGCAGCCCAGTGTGCTGTTAGCCGTCATTACTACCAGGGCACGCTGCTGGTTCATGCTTAGTGTACTGCCCATCGGGACCCCTAGATCTGGACCTTGATCATGGATTAGCAGAGTGGGTTGAACTTGGGCCTTTCAGGGATTACTTCTCTCTCAGTTCTCCAGACTGTGTCAGGATGTCCATTTGTCATACGCCGTGGTGAGTCATTGCCATGATACCCCAACAAGCTACAGCTGCATGTGACTCTGAGCTGTTGGGAGCCACCGAGCCTAGTGCTGAGCTTTGTGGATGAAATAGAAAATGTGCTGAGCTGGGGTATTCTGAGACCTGTGAAACCAAACCTGCACAGCATCTAGGGTTAGTTAGGGAGCACAGGACAGGATAGGGACAGTGGGATACTTACGTTGCCCTCCACCATGCTTCCTAACATTCCGAATCCACTCTTGTGTACAGAAAAGCACCAGAGTTTGGTCCAGCGCCTGAGTGGTGGCAGTCGTGCTCACTTCCCCCAAGTTGGGATGCAGGCAGGATAGCAAATGTATTCATGTACAAAGAAGAAGTGTAATATACCTGAAAAGAGAAAATCTGTTCACTGTTGTTACTGTTGTGCTAGGAGTGGAGTGAGGGCTTCCTAATGATGCAGTGCAATGAAGAAGGCCTTCCAGGTAGCACCAAGCTTGCAGCAGGGATTCCATAACTATTTCATATTGCCCTTGTGAACAAAGAATATAATCTCCTTTCCTACCCCAGAAAATTGTTGTATAGCCATGAGATTCTAGGCAGACAAGTGTGGGACAGAAAAGGTGCAAGCAACGCATGAGAGCTCGTGTTCCTATCAGGGGTACTGGGCAAGTTATTCTGATTTCCTGAGCACAGGTTTTACACTCTGGAAACTGGAAACAATGACTCAGAATGCTTGTTTTTTTTGTTTTTTTTGTTGTTGTTTTTTTTTTTTTTTTTGGGGGGGGGGGGGAATATTTACAGTTTGAAACGTTTCATATTGCAGTTTTTAAATGATAGTAGAACTGGCCAGTGTTGTAAAGCCTCAGTCTGAGGTGTGTTGCTTTCCAAGCTTGCTTTTTGGAGGCCTGTCTGTTACGTGATTTGAAGAGGGAGTTAACGCTGAAGACAGCCCTCTTCTTTTTGAACAGATCACATATGTTTTAAATCTTCTCTTTTCAAAAGACCTAAGGTCTTGTGGATGTACATAGGTAACCACTTTATATGTGTTGTTAAATACACAAGACAGAAAGGGAAGCTGAGACATTAACAGTGGGAATAACATCAACATAAATCTTCTAGAATCACAACACGGTGCTTTGGTAGAGGATGTCTCCAGACTTGGTCTCTGTCTGTGATGATGGAATCACATCACTGTCTTGGCTGTGCTGCCTCTCTAGACTCCTGGCCTTGCTTTAACACACAAAAATAATACCTTCAGGGTAATCAGGCACACTGATAGTGTGAGCCTTCAGTCCTAAATACTTGAGTATTGCATCAGTCTTAGTAACTTGATGTTTCCTTAAGGTGAAGCCTCAGCTAGAAGAAAAAGAAGGGAAAACCTTTGATGTCTTCACTTCTCTCATGCCATTCTCTTACTGCACAGTATCTGAATGAATCACATAGCTCTCCCTTCACCTTTTGCTAATGCAAACCCAAGAACCTGCACTGGCTACAGTGCACCTCAACCAGAATACTGTGCCTGAGTCGTGTTTGTGGACTTCCCAGGTCTGGAAGTTGCAGGGGAGAGACACTAGTACTTGTGGATTTGCAGCAAGCAGCAAGAGAAAAACATGCATCTTTTTATGTACAGTTTTGCAACGGTGAATACATCTGTAGATTTAAGGTATACTGTGTATTTTATTGGCAAATACCGGAAGGTGGACTTGAACAGAAAAGATTCAGAGAGCAAGGGAAAAGAGGAGTACTGTAGCCTTTGGAAAGAAACATTCCCTTGGGAATCATGTTTTTCCTCTTGCAGCAGTAGGATGTAATGTCCAGTAGAGGGCGTATGAGATTTTTAAAAAACTTGCTTATTTTCTGAGTCCTAAGGAGAAGTCCTAGAAAAGAATTCAGACTGTAAAAGCATTTCTGCAGTAATAAAAATAAGCATTTCTCTCAAATTTAGATGCTATATTTCACTGGCATTTCTCTGTTTCCTTTTCTGATTTTTCAGTACTGGTTGCTATCTTGCTCAGTTTTTTTCCATGAGCCTTTTTCACATTCCAGATGACTAAATCATAGAATCACTTCAGTTGAAAAAGACCTCTAAGATCATCTGGTCCAACCCTTAACCTAACACTGCCAATTCCATTGTTAAACCGTGCCACTAAGCACCACATCTGTGTTTACATGAATATTTGATTTACTTAGAAATACTTTGTTTTAATTGGGTGAGGCAACAAGAAAGGCTTTGGGGGCGAAGGATGGGGGTTGGAGGTAAGGTCTATGTGTGTGTGTGTGTTGAAAATTTTGACATTTTACTTTGGGAGAGGAGGTGCTGCATTCTGAACTGAGAAGAAACAGCCCATCTGTGTATGACACCAGGGCAGATTCTTGCTTCCACACTGAAGAAACTACACATGCACATTCTTATGCCTCTTGGGGCAGGAATGCTGTGTGAGCATGCACGGTTTAGAGCATGGAACTAGCACGGTTTAGAGCATGTTCTGCTTCCTAACTATTAAGGGGAACTTCAGGGAGCTCAGAATACTTTTTTGCATATATTCTTACACTCGCATCAGCCCAAAGAGTCCTCCCGCACTCCCAACTTAGAACATTGGTGGAATGCGTCAGGGCTGTTATGCACTGCTTGTTTTGCTAAAATAAGGGGCTTCTGGAAATGGTATTTTTTTGTTGGTGGTAAACTCTCCATCCTGAAGTATTTTATATGGTTCAAAAAGGCTAAACAGTATTGCCAAATGCTATTGTGAGAGATGTCAGGTAGCACGGATAATGCTAGACTTAATGCATGCCTATTCAGTACAACACCAAACATGAACACAAGCAAGGCATGGCATGAGACCCATTGAAACACTTAATGTCTCACATCTGAGCCCAAACTCATTGGCTTGGATTGCACCGGATGTAATTCAAGAGCACCTACAGAAGCAGCTGCTAACACAAAAATATGGTTGTCATGGTTTGGGGTTGCTTTCTTCTTTTGTTCCCTCAGAGCTTAACTGAAAATTGATCTCATTGCCAGTTCCTGCTGCTACAAAAAATGAATGAGCTGCATGCATCTCCAGGAAACCATGCTCTGTAATCACGATGGTCGCGCTTTGATTCGGGGCCTGGGTGCTGGGACTGAGCTCTTCCTGCTGCAGCAGGAGGTCGCTCTTCGTGCTACTTGGAGTAGGTCGTGCCTTTCCTCACCCAGCCCTATCCAGTCAAGCTGCCCTTACAGAGGGGCACACCTTTCAGCTCCTCAATTCCTCCCCTAGAAATTTCTCTCACTCGTTCTGAAGAGCAGCCAGAAGCTTGTATTTAATGCACTAAGAGCAAACCCAAGAAATAGGTAGCCTGTTACACCTAAAAACACTGACAGTACTAGGAAAGAAGAGAGAAAAGGAGTGTACTTTGTCTTAGAGCCACAACACCTTAGGTGGCAGAAACAGCTCTGACTAGTATTTTAGAGCCCCCTCAAGCTTTAGACAGGCGGCAGACTCAGACACAACAAGCAGGAGATGAACACAGCTTTCAAAACTTATTTTATTTTCATGCATTTTCTGACACAGGCAGAATCCCCGTGCAACTTGCAGAAGTCGGGAAACATTCCCCACCATCTCTCAGAAGTACTCCAGAGGATCATCTCTGGTTTTGCCAGTTTCATAACGATCAAGTCTGGGTCCTTGTTTCTCCTCACGACTGGCTTGGAACACCCTTAAGTGGGCGTAGCCAGTATCAAAATCAGAAATTTGGACCTGGAAACCAGAACAGTGGGAGAATGAGGATCATATGTGAAACTAAAAGGAGCTCTTACATACTTGGAGAGATATCTTCTCTCAGAAGCTTAAGTTTAGGCATATCTTCACTTCTACTGCAGTGACTCTTAGCCCAACTCTGGATGGTAACAGGTGGCAGGAACTACATTGAGAGCTCTGTCTCTATGCATCACAGATTATAATAAAACACATAACATCAGACAGATGTTAATGGAAAATCAGGACTTCTTGGGGGTAGAAGCACCAGAAGAAACAAAAGGAGAAAGTTTTTGATGGCATTCCATTTAGCTCTTCGAGATCCTTGTCCATCAGCTTCAAACTTCTCGGGACATTTAGAGCAGGAAACAAAAGCCTAAGGCTCAGAGGAGGGACATGATGCAGACACCATATCAGCTCCTAGACGGTACAAAAAGATCTATCCAAAACCTTCACATGGTCTTAAGAACAACCCCAGAGATGCCATGACAACTTGAAAGCCAAGATCCCTTGTCTTTCTTACTGCAAGCCCATTGCTGCCTGGACAGACAACATGACATGTCTTTGTGCTTGCAGGGATGTGCATGAGCGACTGAAATAATTTTTAAAATAAACCTGCCTTCCCCTCCAGAAAGCCCTCACAGAGATTTCCTACACAGTTGTACAGAATTTCCTGCATACAGAGCCAAATACAACAGGTGCTCAACTCTTAGTGTGCGAGGTCTACGGTATTAAAGGAAGGCTTAATGCCTTAGGCTCTTAAGAGGTCTTTACATGCCTTCTGGTGACTGCAGTGTTGCACTATGTTTGGCGCTGTCTGCATTACATCTCAGCTGTAAATTTGTTGGTAAAATATTAGCAATCTGGAAAATTTCCAAGTATAAAAGAGCTCACTCCAGTTAACGCTAAATTGAAGATGTGTTTCCTGTCACTTGCAAAACTGGGAAAGACAGCACCAGTCACCAGTGCTATAAATGTGTTTATTAAGTTTGATTACATATCAGTCTTAACTTCTGAGTAGCTTGGTCAGGCTCCTCAGTAGTAGGTAGGCTACTCAGTACTTGGTAGGCTTACCATGGACAGCAGGCAAGTGCTTTACACATGTGGTCACCTAGGTCAGCAATAACCACTAAGGGAAGAAATTTAACTGGGCGTGACTTCTGGCTCTACCGCAGCCTTACTATGAGTCGTTTCTCTTCATTACACACTACCTCGACCACAAAATGAAGGCACATCTCACAGGAGCAGGGGAAGGATAAACATCAGTTGTTTAAGACTCAACCTGGCCATACAAGTAGGTGGCCTGTCAGTACTGTTCCCTTGTACCCACAGAATGTAGAAATAACTGTTAACAGTTATGTTAAGGAAGGACTCAGGAAGGGAGGTTTGGCACTATCTGTCCTTCCTGGGATCAACTAAATACGGGCATCTGAGAGCAAATGCTCTTTATGTCTCTGCAAGAATCACTTTTCCCCAAACCCTATCTGCCAGTTCTCTTCCATAAACAAACAAACTCTGACTCTTGTCAAGAAAGCGCATCCTACCCAGCCTTATATCCACACATACGTGAGGTTATATTAGAGCAGTCACATGCAGGGTTTCTGCTATGTACAGAAAGCCAGCCCGCCTCTAAGCAATGTTTTCAAGCCTTCAGTTCTGCATGCAGGATATGACTTGCAATTTCTTATATGTTACTTCTCAGAAAACTGCTGGAATCCATGGGTAAGGTTTTCCAATAGAGGATGAATTGCACTACATTCGTCTGCAAAGCGGTTGGTTTGTTTGTTTGTTTGTTTGAACTAAAGAAAGAACAGGCAGGCTGTACCTCTGCAGCAGATGACACAGAATCAAAGGATCAGCACACGTGCTTGCATATATAACCGATCAGAAGAATCTGGGATGCTCCCATTAAATTAAAAAATGGACTAACTCTCCAAGAGGGAATATGAAATCTGCTGCTTTGACTTGAAAGGCAACAGGAGAGCACAGTTCCGGCTAGTTTAGATAATTTGAGCTGAGAAGGCTATCCACGCTCTTCAAGTGAGATGACCATTCACATCTCCAGAAGCACAGTGAATGTTGTTTAAGTTTTTATACTTCTATTCTAGAGTAGTGACAGAGGAATTTTATAAGCAGCTAGAGATAGTGTTGATTCTTGTTGGTCACATCAGGTTTTGTACATTTGCTTCCCTTTCTTGCTATAAGCCACTATGCAAGTCACCTATATTGTTTGACTACAAAATAATCCCTCTTATAACACATATAAACCTTAATGAAGTAGATCGTTCCAGCAACCAACTTAGTCCTATATACTATGGCTCGAAAGATATCAAATGTTCTGTCTTCCCTTCTTTCAAATTCTGGATTCACCTGTAAAAAGAAAAAGAAAAAAAAAAAAAAAACTGTTGGCAGGTTCATATTTAGGCTGTTCTTCCCTTCTACCACTCCAATTTTCGTATTTCTAAACACGCACCTGTAAGGAAATAAACCCAGAACCATCAAAATAATTCAATTGACAACCACGTCTCCAGCCTTCTTTCCTATTTCAAGTGTTGCCTCCAGCATTCTTTAACATCACGATAGAGTTAGGCTTCATAAACAATTTTTTCCTAAAAGCTGCATATGGGTACCTTTCAGGTACAATCTTCTCCTTTCAAATATAGCAACCACAGTGCAAGAACAGTAGAGCTGGTCTTTTGATTGTATTCAAAGATTAAGTGGAGGTAGCCAGTACTATGCCTGCCTATGGACAAGGATGAAACAGAGAAGTGATTTGGGTTTGTCTTACTTGCACAGTGCCCATGCAGAACGCTGAGAAAAATACATCCTGGCAAGGGCATTTGCTTCACTTTCAACACTCAGTATCACCACCTGGTCTCCCAGCCTTGGCACAAGATTCACCCTTCACACAACTCTATCTTTAGATAGGTTGCAACTCACCTGGTCAGCAATATGCTGGACTTCTGGAGTAGCAGGCTTAGTGTCAGATAAGTCCTCAGTCTCCATAGTGGCAGGTAACGTCTCCGAAATGATGGGTGGTTCTGAGGAGGGAAGTCCAGAGCAGTCTGAGAAGAGTCACCAGGCACCTCGTATATATACACAGACACATGTGTCATGGGATCATATGACTTTTAACATATGGAACCTACCACTACCGAAGTGGAGGAGGAGAAAAATGCTGAGAACAGGGGCAAAAAGCCGTGTAAAGCACTAATGATATTAATAGCAACTATAAAGAGCACATTAAAATCTTATGTGAATAATGTCTCCACATCAATTAGAAAAGTAAACGATATTCTCCCGCCATCCATACCTTAGGATAGTTGGTTAGGGCTGAAACTAGAACCTCTTGTCTCTCCACCCACATGCAGATGACTAGTCCATACACTCAGGAAATGCATCAAAACCACACTCAGCACTTCCCAACACATTTAATATCAGAAGAAAGCGTTCAGCAATTTCCTTAGTGCAGGCCCCGTTCTACTTGGAATTGTATTGTCTCGATATCCTTCCAGGTGGGAAAGAGGAACAGATTTTGTTTTACATGCAGTGACATTACATACTTCTGCCTGACCAGAAAGATGCGGAGGCAAAATTCAGAAGGGGAAAAAATTAAGTCCTTGGCTCAGGTAAATACCACAAGTTAGTTAATTCTGTTCCTTTCCCATCAAACCTGTAGTTACTTGCATTCAGACAATCAAGATAAAGATCCAATATGCAGTACCATTTATGCTTTTCTTGAAACTCTGGTGTCAGTTTCCTGCTTATTGACCTCCTCACAGATAATGAGTGATGCAACAGACTGCAAACACATACTTCATGTCTAACTTCAAGGCCTGTCCTTGGCACAAAGAGCTCGAGATTGAGAAAGTAGGGCTGACAGGACTAAATCCAACGGTATACAGATCAAGATAGGGGCGTGTTACAGATAAGGATGTTGAAGAATTCCCCAGAACTGTTATGTAACTGGATGAAAGCCATATGAAGAAAAACTGCTGTCCTGATACCTCTTCCTGAACAAAGTGAAAAACATTCACGGTTCTTGGAAATAAAGGGAGTGGTGGGTATTAGAAGTTTTCCATTTTCTCGCAGTTCACCACACCAGATGAGGAGATCCTCACAGCCCCTTTCATAGAGGGAATGACAATTCAAGCCAATGAGTTCAACCTCTTTCATCTGTACAAGACATTGCTGATTCACTCAAACACATCGTCTTCTGCTACATTCCTACCACGTGTCTTATTCACACAGCAAGACAGAAGAGCTAGCTAACTGGGAGAGCCAGCTCACCACGCTGAGGCCACAAGTCACAGAGTACATTCAATAGCAGCACAGCACCAGGGCTAAACCAAGCCATTTTAGAAATTTCTCCACTCACCAGGATGCAAATCTCACTAATGCCCTTGGAAGGTATTTTGATACAGTTCTGAAAGCAACACAACCCCTCTGAAGAACTCTTTATTCTGATTAGTAAGAAATGCACTGAGTACAAAGACCAGAAGAGTTACATTATAACCTCATGAAGACTGTAGGAGTGAAACTAAAGACATTGATGTTGTGTGGAAGTCATACATTGGACTCCACATTTCTGGGTTTGTTGGGTTTTGACTTCAAAAATTTTGTCTCAAAATGCAGTGATACATCTAACACTGGCATGCAGTGCTCTATTCTTGCACACGTAGCTCATTAAGTCATTTTTAAATGCTGACATCTCACAAACTTGTTAATCAGCAGCAACAGGCTATCCAAGGCAATCTAAACCTCTCTCCATGAAGCTTTGGATGCGATGAAACAGCATTTGGAATGCTGCCTTGAAAAAAAAAAAAAAAAAGCCATCCTCATTACATTTCTTGCGGAACATTGACAACTTTGACCGCGTCTCCACTTCAGCGTATGTGACACGTTTGATGTTACATGCCCATTCCAGCCCATGCTCAGCATTTGCCCAGACTGCAGTTTTTCTTCACGTAAATGTTCTGCTGTAAGCTTTGAGAATCTGTACTGGAAGAACAGCACTACTGATCTATATAGCTTTAAAGCTGGGTAGCATCATCTACTTATTCAGCTAATGAAGAAAAAACTTTGCAGCTTGTACACTACTACTTGCTGGTACACCACTACTCCCTGGTTCTATGCAAGCAATTTTAAGTAGTAAACAGAAACTGTAGTCAATAAAAGTAACAGTACAGTAACAACAACAACAACAAAGAATCCAAACCCTAGGATTAGGTATTTATGAGTTATTTTAAAAAAGAAATGAAGCCATCTCCATAGAAATGATAGGGACATCTAAGAGAGTATGTCAGTCTTGTGGTTGCACAGTGATAAGACATGACTAATCTTGACTAGATGAAATGACACATGGTCTGCACCAAATTTCATTAGCTGTGAAAGGAAAGCAGTCCTCCATCTGCTGACTGAGTATCTAGTTGGCATCATCACAGCTTCTCATTAAAGTGCTTTTACTTGCAAGTATTTGTTGGGTCCAGTATTTGATACATGTGACGTCAAGAGGCCCAGTAATTTTGTGCCTACCTTGATGGCAAAGTTGAAAGAGGATTCAATTGCAGACTAAGCAAGATTCCAGAATGGAAAGGAGTCACTAGATACAGACAGTATTTTACCTACACTCGTTTAGCATGGCCCACAGCTCACACCAGTACTGCTTATATTCCACCACAAAACATCCCACCTCAAAGACAGCACGTGTGCACCTGCAGCCCAGAAAGCCAACCATATCCTGAACTGCATCAAAAGCAGTGTGGCCAGCAAGTTGAGGTAGGTGATCCTCCCCCTCTGCTCTGCTCTCGTGAGACCCCACCTGGAGGGCTGTGTTCAGCTCTGGGGCCCCCAGCACAAGGACATGGAGCTATTAGGACGTGTCCAGAAGAAGGCCACAAAGATTATCAAGGGGCTGGAGCACCTTTCCTACAAAGACAGGCTGAGGGAGTTGGGGTTGTTGGAGTCAGAGAAGGGAAGGCTGCAAGGAGACCTTACAGCAGCCTTCCAGTACCTAAAGGGGGCCTGCAAGAAAGCTGGGAAGGGACTTTTTGTCAGGGAGTGTAGTGATGGGACAAGGAGTACCAGATTTAAACTAAAAGAGGGTAGGTTTATATAAGATAATAAGATATAAGGGGATAATTCTTTACTACAAGGGTGGTGAGCCACCAGAACAGGTTGCCCAGAGAAGCTGTGGATGCCCCATCCTTGGAGGTGTTCAAGGCCAGGCTGGATGAGGCTTTGAGGAACCTGGTCTGGTGGGAGGTGTCCCTGCCTATGGCAGGGGGGGTGGAATTAGATGATCTTTAAGGTGCCTTCCAACCCAAACCATTCTATGATTTTATGACAGATCCTAACTATCAAAAGATAGTAAATCTCTTCCTCCTTTCCCATGCCCCAAAGCATGACATGAAATTCCAGTTACTCACCTTAGTGTTCCACTAAGTTCAAGAGCATTCAAACAGCCTCTGATCCATGCCATATGCTGTAAGAGAGAGCCCTCTGCACTCAGAGCAGACCAAATAGAGCAATTCAACTTTTTAGTACAACCCTTTGTATGTAACAAGCTGTAAACAATTGGAGAACACCAAACAGGGACTTAAAAATCTTTTTAGGGTTCAGAACCTTTACCATATACAGGCTTATATAGATCTACTTGCTTAGCTTTATATTCAAATGAAAAATTGCATTAGAGGTTGCTTTTTTTTCCCTTAGATCTCTCCCAATTAATGCTAAGCTGCACTACCAGAAAAACAAACAAATAAACAACCCTCCCCCCCCAAAAAAAAAAAAAAAAAAAAGTCCTACAAATGTATCCCATCCATACAGGTCACTTTTCACAGCATCTGCTTAGCTGAAGAAGTTCTCACACAACTGTTGAGCAGACATCTGGATGGATAAAGGAAGACAGTGATTAATTCCCATTAGAATCTCAAGTTTTTACTGATATACAACAAAAGCTTAATTATGTCAGAGATATTAATGCTACCTTATACACACTGGCAGAAATTTGTATCATACAACTGGCTTAAAAGGACTGCAGTTGTAGACCCAGACCCTGGAGAGAACAAATATTTTAGGCGCTTACATTAGGTGCCAGCCTTAGAGCAGTGACTTTGAAATTAAAACTAACTACTCTCAGTATGTGATTAACGGACCATCTCCTGTGGAAATTAGGTTACTGGCAATTCAGCCCACAGTTCTGAGAAGTACTCGACTTCCACTTCGCTTTAATATTAAAGAATAAACACTAATAAGGATTTATCAGTGTAATAGCAAACTTTTTTTCCCCTTGCTTTCAGACTTGCAGAAAAACAATGAATACTTCAAGAGGGAAATGAGAGCTTCATTCAATCAGAGTAAAGCTCTGCTTAGAGCAGTTACAGTACCTTAAGTTTTTTTTTGTTTTTTAAGAAAAAAAGTGTTTCAATATTAGGATTTACACCCTTAAAGAATTAAAATAGATTTCTACTTCATTCTCAAAAAAAAGTGTGTCTGAATGACACCACAACCACCCCGTTGTCTAAAAAAACAAAGGTGACCGTGTAGTCTAAGGATCTCTGCTGGACAAATGACTATGGAGATGACACTACAAAGATCTTTGCAGTTTTCAGTGACACAAAGACATTCCTCCAGCTACTTCCTACTCGCCGTACGTGCAAAGCTTTTAAGGACATGAGAGTACGCAGTCATTTCAGTGGTGTAACTGAATTCCAAAGTGTTTGCGAGATGATGCCTGTACTTTTAAGGCTCTGATCAATGTTGGTTTTTTTAAGCATTATTACTCTAACAGAAACAGCTGGTAAGCAAGCAGTCCATTTGACTTGTCAGTCAGAGTTAGTAAAAAAAAAAAACAAAAAAACTGAAGATATAATCACAGCAATTTCACTTTAGTCATATTTTTCCAGTTTTAAATGATGCTTTCTTTGCTGTATTACTGCAGGGGTGTTATATTTAAAGCTCTCTAAATACAATATAAAAAGCAGACTCAGCAGTATCAGGTATGCACAGCTATTTTCTCTAGATATAATTCACCTACAGAACTAATTTTTTAGAAAAAGGGGTGGAATAGGGACACCAGAGTTAGCTGTCTCCTTCCTAAATGCTGTTCAAATACATGTTTTCATTTCCAACACAAAGTAGTTTTAATCAACACCACATTCTGTGTTTAAAAAAAAAATCCAGAGCATGGTAACAAAGGTGTAACAGCAGCTGCAACAGATGCTGCCTGTCAGCATTGGGGAAGTCAAAGGAAACTTGTATCCACAGGCAGGGTTTGAATCAATGTTGCTAGTGTTGAGTAATTCAAAATAAGGCTGGTGGCTTCTTACTTTGATGGGTGCTGAAACTATGGTTACTTATCATTCTGCAATGTTTATTTCCTTTTGAATTTTCGCACCATGTTCAATGACTGCTTACCAAGCACCAGTTCTGGGAAAACCCTGTCCACACTGCTCAGAGCTGTTTGTTTGTTTTTTTTTTAAACAAACAAAAGCCCAACATTTTCTTCCCCTCTTGGGCTCCTGAAGCTTTGAAGTTTAAGAAAGATACCACATTCCATTTGAAAATTATTTTAATACTATAAAACTCATTTGTTCACATATTTTGTACAAAAGATGAGTTGTTTTCTCTTAATTAGAGGAGAATTATTTAAATTGAGATTCCAGCTAGCGTAGGTCCAAAACAAAACAGGACTGGGTTCTCCTGGCTCTGGAGGGTCCCAGTTCAGCTCGCCCAAGGTCTCTTTCCAGTTTGGCTCTCTTGGTTATGGACCACCTTGATGGAAAGTACTTAACATCATTGACTCTTCGGAGGCTTGTAATGAATTCGGCAACGTTCATTAAATACCTGAGACAGCAAAACAGAAGAGCAAAAGTGAGTAAGTCCATGTCTATGGGATGATCTGATCTTCAGAGCTAGTTCAGGCAACTGTCTCCTCCTGTAGCACCCACTCTGAGGTGCCCAGCCCTGCTGTACCAATAAATGGTACTTACCAAGGCATCTGTCTCCATTCACTTTCTCTCCTGGCTTTACTGAATCCAAAGCTTGCAGCCTGGTGCTGGGGGACTGACTGCACAGCACTAACAGTATTCTCCCTCAGATAGGGCAGACACAATCCTGGCGGTCTGTCACTATCAAGGATGCTGAAGCTTTTGGTTGCTTGGTTGGTGGGAGATTTTGTTGTTGCTGTTCTAAAGAGGGAGGGAAAAGACCAGCAGAAGGATCCTGACCAGCTGTGTTTTGTTAAGTTCACTGTGGCATTGAAACTGGGACATCACGTTCTTCTCTTTCCTGAGCAAACACACTTTACATTGTTGGGACAGCTAAAAAGAAGTGCGAGTGTGTGTTCTTGGAAGCAGTGGTCCTGTTTTTAATTATTTGACTGGGGATGCTGATGTTGCCAGCATCCCCTCAGAAAGGGCATTCTGCTCTCGCCACGTTCACCTTTCTCTGGGTAAAGTTTAGCACACAGAGCCAGAACCTGAAGATTGTTTTCATTTAGCTCAAACTTGCAGACCTCGTCAAACAGCCTGCTTAACCTGACGTGGGCCAGTCATTAAATTACAGCAGTTTGAATCGAAAGCACCACACACAGACTCACACCAAAGTTACTGGGGCTGTTTTCACAGGATTTAGTTATTTAAAGTTTTGGCGCCAAACTATCCCGCATACATCCTGGAGTGTAGCACGAGCTCCACCTAGCACCAAGCTGAGGCACTGGTGGTTATTATGTCCACCAGCAGCACTCCTACAACGATGTATTTTGCCAGGGTATCCAGGTACTTTTCAGATCTCCGAATGCCTGTGATGTTGAGGATGTCAAGTTTTGTGAAGTCTCCCTTAGGCTTCACATGCAAAGTGACTGGTCTTGTCATCTTGGGGAAGTAACACGTCTTATTTAAAATGTTACTTTAAAGTTTATCTTCCTAGAATTGTCTGCTTTTGCAACTGATCTCCTTATTCAGCACCAATGGCAAACTTCAACAAAAGCGAGGTATGCAGCATGCCTTAGTTATGCATTTATACCTAACAATTTTTAAGTAATCTTTGACTTATCATCAAATTTGGTTCACTTTAAGAAAGACACATTACAAACCAATTCACATTAAAGAAAACATGGAAGTTGTGATATAATTTCTTTCACATGCACACACAGCCTGTCTCACTACATTCCCACATGCAATTGAAAGCTCTGGAAGAGTTAGGAGTGTGTAAAGATCCAAAATCAGGTAACTGATAGAAGGAAACAGCAGAAATCAACAGTCAACAAAAAATTTCCTATTCACAGAATCACAGAATTTCTAGGTTGGAAGAGACCTCAAGATCATCGAGTCCAACCTCTGACCTAACACTAACAGTCCCCACTAAACCATATCCCTAAGCTCTACATCTAAACATCTTGTAAAGACTTCCAGGGATGGTGACTCCACCACTTCCCTGGGCAGCCTGTTCCAATGTCTAACAACCCTTTCGGTAAAGAAGTTCTTCCTAAAAGAAGAATTTTAATACTGGGAAGACTGTTCCACTTCTGTCCAAGTCATTTAATATGACTATATAAGACATTTAATATGACTATGTCTTAAAGGGTACTGGAAATACACTTTAAGCCACTGTAAGGCCAACTCTCACATCAAACAACATACCAAAAAAAAAAAAATCTCAATTTCCAGCTTGCTATCACGCAAACTTTGAAAGCATCATTATCAGTACCTCTTTAGACCATGGAAGATCAATATTACAATCTTATTAACACTGCCTCCTACTTTTAAGGTCATCTACCCACAGATCTCAATGTGTTGCTCAGTCCAATTAACTCCTATAGTCTACCTGTGAAGTATTACTTTTTTCAGACAAAAAAACACTGTCCAAGATACCCTAAAATGCATGTTGCTATGTAAAAGTTTGATTTTGATGTCTTATGTAGTAATACAAAACACTCTGCTGATAAAGGTGATATAGAGAGACTAAGGCAAATGTGTTATTTTGGAACCCAATTCACCCTGTGCCTTTTTAAAATAAAACTGACAGTAGAGTTGCCGTGAAATGTTCGCCACTGGCAGCCTGTAGTGTGTTGTTAAAGATAGAGCATTTCTGAGTTTTATCTGAGCTGGCTCTAAATTCATTAAACTTAATAGACTAATTAATTAAGGGCATGACTAGCTTTTTCCATTCGGTATTGACTGGGAAACCCTTTAAACACTCATCTGTTCAGTCTCCATGGAGCTCTATTATGGTGACTAGACCTCCAAGAACACCCAAGACTTAAAGCTGTATTGCATTTATCCTGATGCAAACTTCAGGGCTAAAATCCTAAAGCCGAGATTAAGAAAGGAGCTGCAGCCAGTGTTAGCTATTGGTAAAAAATCTTTTACATTTAGCAAGGGAACGAGGTTACTTATGCAGAATTGAGAACTCTAGAAAGCTAGAACAAAGCACAAAAGCATGCTAGAAGTGAAATGCTGCAGCAAGAGAATACGCAGGGAGTACTTCACAGTCCCTCCTCCCCACTGAACCAGCCACATTTCTTCCCTTCACAGCACAACTGAGAAGCTTTGGTGTCTGCTTCTACAAATAGGAAAATGACTGAGCGCTTTCCCTTCTTTCCCCAGTGTTGCCCCCACCTATCTCTAGTCCACCTGCCTCCTAAGGCATCAGCCCCACACCTGCAGCACAGGACAGTTCAAACCCACGGCAAAGAACCACAGCACTTTGGTAAATGACTGAGTACCTTCCAACTTCTGTCGTTTACCACTTCTTCGACGTTCAGCTCCGACTGCATCAATTTCAACTGCAGAGAATAATCAACAAAGAAACAGATTAAAGCCAGTAAGAGGTGTGCATCCCATCCAATGGTACAAACTGAAGGCGGTCATCCTGAAAGCCTGGTCCCTCCATTCAGCCAATGCTTTGGGTATGCTAGAGTTGTCCACAAGACATACTGTGAAGGCAGACTTGCAATGCAAGCCTTGCAGAAATTACTAATTCTGGTTACTAATTCTCCACTTTTAAATATTGCCCACCAAGATTTGCCAGCATTTAGCTGATTAACCTTCACAGCTTCACCAACAAAAATAACTACACCAAATTCAAGCACTCAGCACAGGGAATGGTAGTGCTAGGGTTAGCTTTGCAGCCTGGAGTTCTCATTCTTCCACCCATGCATTATTAGAGTCAAATAGGACAGCTGGCAACCAAACTATGACAGAAATGAATCAGATTCTTGATTTAGGATTAAGATCATGAAGACATCCCCTCTGCTTTCTTTGCCATCTACTCTGTGCACTGACCAAAAAAGGATCTACAAGAACAGATCATATATGTTCATGTTCTCTGAACCATTTACTATGGTACGTGATCACAGTAGGACAAATCAGATTTACATAGATCCAAGAAATACCACAATAAGCAGTTCCTGAGCACTCGCTCAATCCGTGAGAACTTTTTTTCACCTCTGTTAGTAACTCCAAGGGGCACTCGTGACAGCTGCGTTCAGATGACCTGTGGGAATTTGACCCTGCCACACATTCCAGAAGCAGTAGTAGAGGACTTAAAGCCCAACTGCCATTTATGCCTATGTTTGGGATTTATTTTTGTTGGAGTTTTAGACTCTAGAGTGAATAAATTTTAACTATGTGGCTCCAACTAGAGAGCTGGTGAACAGATACAAACCAAGAGAGCAATTACATTACAAAAAAAAAACTCCAAGCAGGATGTCCAGACACACACAGTTTATACGGGTATTGGATGAGCTTCTACATACTCAAAAGGACTCCAAACTGGTTGAAATAATAACCCAGCACTACCAGGGTTGCTAGATGACCAGCATTAGTCTCTATAACACAACTGCAAAAGATCTTGAGCATTTCAAAGAAGGGCTTTTCCTGCCGGAATACATGAATAGGTTTACAATTGCCAGCATCGTCACATAACTCAGCTTTGACACCAAGCCTCAGCAAAACTACTATTCAGCCTGTTGCTTAGGGTTACAGACCCAAACAGGAGTGCAATCAGAGTTAATCAACAAGGCTATACAGGTGTTTGTTTGTTTCTAAATTTGCATTTTTTTCCCCTCTCCTCCTAAAAACATACTCCAATATTTTTTAGCAGGCCCCCCTAATTCACTTCATAAAGCTAATACTTGTTAAGCTATATGTTTTGAACTTGGAGAATTAATTTGGGTAGCTATTTTATGACATTTCATATATAAGAACTAAGATGATACCAAATTTATACAATAGTCAAATGATAGTTTTATGTAAGTGACCTGAAAGAATTGGCACCTAGACCCACACAGCTCCACGGTTTTTTAAGCAGTGACCTAGAAGCAGTAACTTTATACAAAGTCCTCCAATTTGTACCATTAACAGTATGCATAAAGTATAAAGAACAGATCTGTATTTCTAACAAATATACATTTAAAATGAGTAATCTTAACTGTAGGACGCATTCTCCCAAGAGAGCTTATTTGAGTTCCAGAAAAAAAAAAAAGTGAACTCATGAAGAAGGAAAAGAAAAAAGTAGAAATGGAGAAGAAACCACTCTCAAAATCAAGTGCAAATTTGAGGTCATCTGATCAAAGGATTTCTGGGATGTTTCCAAATTACAGATTGCTTTTAACATTTGAAATCACGTCCAATTATTAAACATTATCATCACTGAGATTCTCCTATTGGTTTCAGTGGTAGGTTTCGGGCTCAGTAACTACGCGATTTAAAGAATTGACTCTGGAAAAAAAAAAAAATTATAGAAAATACTAAGCTATCATTTCAGTTGCCCAAAAGTAATATGGATGCTTATTAGAAGTTCTGTAACTTAGGCTTTAAGAACAAAACCACTTGCCTGCCATTTGGTTCTTTAAATCTGAGCTCGCAACAGAGCACTTCTCTGAGAGCATGTCAAACACGCTCAATGCCTGGGAAAACCAGATGCTGGTTTGTGAACCCCTGAACTCAAGTCATCTCCCCAGAAAGCTCTTCAATTACAACTACATCAGCATTCAAGTGCTCTGCAAAAGACCACTTCTTTCCACTTCTGACAGTCCATCTAATTCACCTCTGGTGAATTCGCTTTCCATCCAGAGGCCATAAGGTTGAGAAGGTCTGAACATTAAAACTCCTTGTGCAAGCCCAGAAATCACTCTCACACCATAAAAGCTAAACACTAAACAACAAAAAAATGGCTTAAGTGGAATTCAAGGTTGACTAACAGCTCCTCACAGTGGACAGGAACTCCAGTTAATACACTGAGTAAGAACAATGCTTCTCAGGGTGATGTTGAATAGGGACAGCTTTAAGTCTGTGTAACTGTGTGGTGCAAGAGACAAACGTGAAAGACATTTCATTATCTTCTAGCATTTGCACCTTGGCACGCAGCCACCATTTGCAGATAGACTACTTTTCACAAAATCTTAAAAAAGGCAAAAGGAACCTCTGGGTATTTTGAAGAGAATAAACAAGCCCCAGTTGAGTTGTACACTAAGTGGCGCTAGTCAGTGAAAGTTAGAGTCCACTCTGGAAGAGCACGCATGTTTTGCTATGCATTTGTGTAATAGAATCTCCAAAAATATTCAATTTACAGGATAAAAACAGTTCTGTTCTGAGTGCCAGGGAAAACACCACTCACAAACCCATCTGACAAGAATCCAGGACAACACCACCTAAGTCAGAACCCCCTTCAGGTTCCCTCCATCATGGATATCTTTCAAGTTGGGAAAGACTCCCTCTGACTTCCAAATGACCTCACAAAATCCCCACCACTCACCTTTGTCTGCTCTTTCCTGAGTTGCTTTAATAACGCTACGTCATCTTGTGCTTTTTCCCTCTCTTCTCTGAGAGTTTTCACTACACTGGAAGTCTGAGCGATGCAGTTTTTGATGATTCTCTCTCTGCTGGTGTGAGCTTCCATCAGCTAAGTGGGGATGAGACAAAGTCACAACAACTAGGTCAACTACCCAAGAAAAAAAAAAAAAAAGCTCTGAGTTACAATCTGAGTTACAAATTTAAGAGACTTTCTGAAGTTAAGGCATTGCTATGCCTGCAGAACTCCCTTTAACTCTATAATCTACACGGAAGCAATGTTGCTTGGAGCAGTAGTTACCGGCATGAACTGATGGTAAAAGTCAAAGATACACGATAAGAGTCTTTGACTTTTGGACCACAAAAGTGCGCCAGCACCCATTTTTAAAAGAAAGTGGGGCGTCTGCAGTACACCTCAAAGGACTGGTATTGCAGGACAAGCAAGTCCACAGCATGGTTTAAGAGTGAAGTAGCTTTCGCATGCGTGTGGTTTAGCTACGTAGGGAAGTCAGGCGTGCCATTATGAATGCATAAAGCACGGTGCATCAAGGGTTTTTTCCTTAGAAAAGGAGGCGTGCAGCTTTAGCGGCTAACGAACGGAGCAAAAACTCAGAAAATAAGCTGGAGGTTAAAGAAACGGTCGCTTACAGACTGGTAGAGCGCTTTACACGTCTGGCTGGCGTCGACTTTCCCGACGAAGGAGGCCGTAGGAATCGTAGTGTTCAGCTCGTGGACGATCCTGTCGTCGATCGTCCTCATCACCCTGAGCAACTCCTGCATCAAAGAACAAAATAAATAAATAAATAAATAGATAAATAAATAAATAAACGCTTATGCACTCCGGGCCACGAAGGGCAGGCGGGCGCCCCTCAGGGCGTCCCAGCGGCCTGCTGCGCCCCCTGCCTGCCCCACACACACGGCCGGGGGCTGCCGCCGGGCGACCCGCCGAGCGAGGGCCGGGAAGACCGAAGGGGGACCGGAGGGGGCAGCCCGGGCGGCCACGCGTGGCGCCGACCCCCGTCGGGGAGAGGAGGAGGCCCGGAGGCCCGGCCCGGCCCCCCCCGGCCCCGCTCTCGCTACCTGGAACTCGGCGAAGTCCTCGCAGCCCGCCGCGCTGCTGGGCGCCGCCATATTGGCAAGGCCGAGGGCGGAGCGGGGGCCGGGGCCGGGGCGGCACCGGGCGGGGACGGGGAGCGGGGAACGGGGCGGGAGGGAAGGGAGAAGGGGGGGGGGTGACATTGAGGGGCCCCGCGCCGCGCTGCGGGCTGCGGGCAGCGCCATGTGGGGCCGGGCCGGTGAGTGCACGGCCCTGCAGCGGGCCCGGAGCCGGGATGGGGGTCGGGGGGCTCTAGGGGGGGTCTGTGGGGCCGGGCGGCCGCCGGGGGGGCTGGAGGTTGAAGCCCGGGGGCCTCCGAGCTGGATTAAAAAGTCAAAAGGGAGGGGAGGGGGGTGGTGGTGGGGGGGGGGAAGGTTCGTACCTTTTTGTTTTGTATTTTCTCCTCAGAAAACCTTGGGAATGGGTTTGGTTTTGAGGGTGCCTTTTTAATAGTTTTTTTCCTATACTTGAGAAATTTTCCAGCATAAAGAATACTAAAAAAAAAAATACCCGTTTACGTATATATATATATATATATTTACTACCCCTTTATCCTCCAAAACTTCATTTTTTTCCCTCAGAAATTTCTCGCCAAATGGTGAATTGAAAGGTTTTTTAGGGATATGGTTTAGTGGGGACTGTTAGCGTTAGGTCAGAGGTTGGACTCGATGATCTTGAGGTCTCTTCCAACCTAGAAATTCTGTGATTCTGTGTGATTCTGTGATTCTGTTTTCCTCTATAAGCCTCCCGGCGCAGTATCTCAGCGCTGCGGGGTCCGGCTTCTGCCGTGGTAGCCCCCCATCAAGTCACTGACTTACTTCTGAGATGTGACAAGGCTGTCAAAATCCTGGTGCACAGCCCTTGAAAGAGCCCTGCCCGAAGTGTATCTGATGCCTAGGAATAGATAAGTGCCTTGAAGTGGTGATACGTTCGTAGCTAGTCTTAGAAATTGCTCGTAGGCTATAATCTGTCGGTCCGGTTTTCCTACGTGTGCTTAACAGGTAAGCTCCAGCGATGGTTTATGGAGTTGTCCTTAATTTCTTTCTAAATCTGCTTAAATCTGCAGTTACAAATCTGCAGCCTAAATCTGCACAGTATTAGGTTTGTACCCGCTGCTTTTACTTCTGATTTTCCCCTGCAGGTGGGGAGGAGAAACAACCTCCTACATTCCACTTCCAGCATTCTCACTCTCTACTATTCTGAGTTAGATTTAACCCCCTTTGCTTCTTCTGCTTTCTCTTCCAGACAGGGCAGTTAAACTGCTGGAAAGAAACATTCCCTCAATTCTGAGGTTGACTAGAGGAGTAGATCTGAAGGTAAACAGAAGGCTTTGCAGCAAACCTCTCCAAGAAGGTCCGCCTCAGCCAAGAAGTAAGTTTCTGATAAAGATCATGGCACGTTTCATGCTTTGAAATATTTAAGTACTCGGGCTGCAGTCATCTGAACAGGCGTTTTGCAGACATGTATTCCAATATCCCTGATTTTGTGAGAGGGAATTCTAACCTTTAGGCTGTTTAGGACATTAAAATTAGCAATGAGATCTTGTTTTTTAACAAAGCCAGGGGGCAATTTTTTGTCTCGTGACAATAACACAGCTTTTGCTTTGTAGCAGATCATTAGTAATGTATTTGATGTACAGCCCTGCACTCTGAGGCTCTTATCTGTGCTCTAGAACAGACTGTTCAGCCCCAATATAAACTGTTGGTGTTTAGGAATATTATACTAGATAAAATACTTTTGCAGTTTTCCATAGTAGAACCAGTTCCAGCTGTTCCCAAATTTGAACATGCCCTGTAGGAAAGAGTCAGTCTCGATCATTGGCTTAGTTAGTCTTTAAAGGTGAAGTTGGTCAGGTAAAGCTCAGGTGTTGAGACATTTTGTAACTGATTAGAGCACAGTTTTGGCGCTCTAATCAGACTCCTCTATAACTGTTTTCCTACTTGGCCTGTTGATGCGAGATAAAAGCAGCATCCAGATGTGAAGCATTTTGTATACATCTGTGTTAAAAAAAATAAAATCAATAACTCAGCCATACTAGGGAAGGCCAAAGGTCTGTTTAACAGTGTCACTCTCCAGTAGTGGCCTGTGAAGGAGGGCCCTTACATTTTTGTGAGGACTAACAGGAATGGTGATCAATAGCAAGGCTCTAAGAAGTAATATAGAAACAGGGCAAACATAGTGTTTCTTCCCTAGACTGCTGTCCCAGAGGTGAAGTCTTTGTTTAATGGTCCTTGTTGGATTTTTCTTTCCTAAATTTTCCCAGTATCTTGAAGCTGTATCTATTTTTAGCATCCACAGCCTCTGGGAAGGAGTTCCTCAGCTGAACTGTGCTTTGAGAAAATAAGTACAGGCTTGTGTTTGGTTTTGAGCCTGGTACGCACTGTTTCCCTCCAGACAGTCATTCCAATCCGTGTTCTCAATGTGAGGTTAATTCTGGCACCCTCCGTTGTGATGAAGGAGTTTTCAGTTAGTGCTTTTCCAGGCTGCAGGGTCTCGCTCTATTACATTGTTTCTTACATGGTGGTCATTCCATAGCTGTGATCACACTTGAGAATTTTCTCTGTGCCCATTCTAGCTGGACTGTTTTTGAGATGAGGGATCAGCGTTTTGCACACTTTTCAAAATGCTGGAGCCATCTTTTTCATACAGTGGCATATTAAAGCTATTGTGTTGGCCTGTGTTCATTTCCTTGTCATTGCTAATAATGCCTTTTTGCCTTTCTGTTACTGAACTTTTCCCAAAACCTCCTAGAAACCCCAAGGACTTACTTTGCAGCAATAATGGTTAGGTTAGATTTTGTCCTTTGTATGTGAACTGGAATTGCTTCTTACTTACATAAATGGGAGGGATTTTCACTGGATTTCACTGAGTTGGGATTCTGAAGTCCTGCAGATCTTCACCCTTAGTCATCTTCTCAATAACATAGCGTTGTCAGGAAACTGTGTATCCAACACTACTTCCTAGGTCATTTATGAATCCACTAAGCAACACATCCATGAAGAACACATCCCATTGTTGTTGTTTTAATGCATATTTTTGCACTTTGTATGCTAGATTTTAATGTTATGTATAGAAAAACCTTCCTGTTTTATTCTAAATATTTTGTATTTGGAGGTTGAAACACTGAACTGAAAATTAAGGATCTTATCTTTACTTATAGTAACTTATTTGTAATATCTCCAAATAAGATAAAATCCTACAGTCCATGTAAAACTTAAAATACTCATGCTATGGTGCAGCATATTGGCTTTTCTGTAGCAGTTTCATTTTGTTTCATTTATTTAAACTAATTTAAATGTAGTAGAAAACTATATCACAGGAGCTTAGGAAGCATAGATGATGGAGCAGGTTCCATAAATTTAGAGTTGTAAATATTCAGAGCTTGCCTTGGGCAAGATTTGGCTTTCCTACCATGGCCTCAGTTTAATCCATATTTAGAAGTTCATTAATCTGACTACGTGATAAATTTTTGTTCTGTAACCTACTCTAGTAATTGTACTTCATTGCTCAACCTAACTGGTTTATTACAGCTGCGGCAATTCAACTTTTCTGACTTTCTATTTTTTTGTGGATTTTTTTGTTTGTTTACCTTATCTTATTTTAGGCCGGTCTGCTTTAAGGGTACCTGGACACAGGCCGACAGACTGGGAGAAAAAATGTTTGTTGTGGGCAGGCCATTTCAAAAAACCAGAGGATATACCAGAGACTGTCTCGTAAGTGCCAGTTTTGAAGCTGTAAGAGAAGCATTATTTTCACAGGAATATGTTACTTGAATGCAATTCATAAATACCTGGGTTTCCACAGCTGAAAATTCTTATGCTGCTGTGACTGTTGTATCACCTTGTAGATAAGATTATATGACCCAGGGAACTCTCTATTTTGATATACATGCATTTAGATTTTTCTGAAGGGATGGGCAGCACCTATCAGTTGTTTAATTAGAAAAACAACACATTTCAATTAATCTTTATTCTTCCAATCAAAAAAGTTTTTTGTAAATATTGGTGTGAGCTTTCCATAGTGTTTTTCTTAGTATGTCAAAGCCTAATGCATGAAATTTTCATGATATAGCCATAAAATAATTGAAATGCATTTCAAATATTTATTAATGAATATCTGGATGGCAGAGGCCAACTTTCTTTACTCTTGGTGTTTAAACTAACAAATAGTGGAAAGGTTCCCTTGCAAAAATAAAATAGTCAAAATTTCCCCATTGCTGGTGAAACACGAATGCCAATGCTTTGTCCTGTGTGCGATGTAGAAAATAAAACTGGATGTTCTATTTTGCCTATCTAAAATGAAGATCAAAGTTTTTAAAAAAATGCAATTATTAGTTTAAAAAACATTTCTAGTGTTAGTATAGTTGTTATCTCTTAGAATACGCTTCTAATGTTTCTATGTATAGATACTTATTCAAAAGATTGAGTCAATCTTTTATTACTTAGGTGAGCAAGTTATGTAGCTCCTGTCTAAAGATATTCTGTTTGGATGCATAGTATAGGAATTGAAAATACACCCATGTACCTAAGCTTTTTCTAAATGTATCACAATGTTGAAAATTATTCAGTTTTGTTTTGGACCATTTTTCTTGAAATTAAAGTTTGAAATAAAGTTTTAAATCATTAAAACATTAAATTATGTCAATTCCTATATTTTTGCATACAAAATACAATACCTGTTATGAGTGTTTTTAAGAAAAGAGTTATCAGACTGAGTGAAGGCATTGACTGTGCATCTAAAATCATGCTTTATTGAAAGGACAAACCAACTTCTGATAAAAGCTGATCATTTTTGCAAGTGCACAGGTTGAATCAGTGGTTTTGTTTAGGGAAATAGTTCAGCCAAAGTTGAAAAGACGGTTAAGAACTATAAAAACACAAAAGCTTGTTTTCTTTGTCTAAACCGCGTAAGATTGGGTTGTAAGGGCATGTGATACAACCATATCTTGCAAGTTATGTTCATTAAAAGTAAATAATTTATTAAACAAAATAAAAGCTAATCTTAGCCACTGAATTAATTTTTAAGTGAAAATTGCATTCAGATAACTACTTTTTCCTCTCGTATAGTCTAGCACACACAAGGTAACTCAAAAATAAAAACTCATAGTTTTTAAATCTGTGCATTTCAGCTTAAGTGCAGCCAAGAACCAAAGTTGTTCATCACAAATTATTTGCAAAAACAAATAACCTGGAAGCTAAATTGCTAGCTTGATGCTAGATCGACATGTTCTCTATGATTAGAAGTTTTCTCAGATCAGTACTATGAAATGGTGATCAAATCACTCTCACATTCCTCTTCAAAAGACAAAAATGTTTTTAGTTCTCAGGTCCTACGTGATTTAGCACACTGAACCATCGTGGATCCCTTGGTGTCCTTTTCCTCCAAGTAGAAGGGTTAAAATGTGATATGTTTACATATATACTGGTGTTTGTGTACAGTATTAGCCTCCCAGTTCTGTTAAGTCTATTATCCATGTTAGGCTTAGCATATAATTACCTCGTGTGATGCATTTTTGTGCCGTTACGTTAATGCTTCTCCAGTCCCCTGTAATTTTATAATACGCAAAATTAAATCGGTGAGAATATTAAACTTCCTCAACAAGAAAGTCAACTGTTCTAAATTCTGCAAGGAGAATTAAATATATAGGACTAAGTCACTGGAAAACACATCTGGAAATTTTACACTTCATTGGCGTTCCTTATATGAACTTCTTATTTGTAGTATTTCAGGTGCAGGTTGGTAGAATGATCTTCAGTACAGCTGGAAGACTTTAATAACTGATATTCTTCTTGTGGAGGACTTCTGTGTTCTAAGATAACCATAGACAAGGCAACAGGTTTCCTAAAGAAGTGGCACAGCTACTGGTACATCTGGATAAGCATGCTGAAATATGGAAAAGATTTAAAGGAGTTACCTGTCCAAAAGCTATGTTGGAAAGCTTACACTCCTCCATGCCTCTCTAGTTTCCCCCTAGCAGAAGGGAAGTTGTAACCACGGGTCTTCTACCACGTCCTATCCAGATTTTCTAGGAGTATTATGTCTAGCAGACAGTGTGAAATCTAAAAATAGCATTATCAAATGCTGTAGTAGAGGAAGCCTTCTTTGGAAAATAGACAGTACCATAACTGAAAGCATTTTGAACCTCAGGCAGAAAGAACTGTTAAGCTGTGAAGGTATTTCCCTCTGTCTAAGAAGCTCAGACTGTTAAACAACATATTTTATTCCTGCTGACAGATGTTTTTTACCATGCTTCTGCTATCAAGGGAACGTGCATATTTTACAGTGCTAAAATACACTGAAGTTCTAGTATGGATAGGGCACTTGCTGTCTTCACAGACTTTAGGAAGCGGTAGTGTTAGTAAACTAGTATTAATAAAAGCATCCCTCTCTTTTTCCTGTCCTCCCTGCAGTGAACATACATAATTAAATACTGCAGCCTTCTTTCCCTTGCATTCCCTAATAATTCAGTACTTTAAAACATTGGGTTTGTTTCCAGCTTTAAGAAAGCCCTTTGTTACCGTGATTTTGTATATCCCAAAGTAGCTAGGAATCAGATGTTCCCATTCCTTTAAAACCTTTTTAAATTTATTTTTCTTTTTTTGTGGAAAGAGCCAAGTACTGTTAGCATTATACACAGAGGGCATACCTAGATTATACAGGTAGCATGCTAGGAGAAATTAAACAACTAGCCAATGATTTGGGTCTCCAGTAATGAGTCTGTTCTTTTATTATTATTTCTTGAGGATTGAAGCAATCAGAGCAGCACAGACCACACTGCGTGTGAAGGTCAGCTATGTAATGATTGCCTTGACTATACTGGGATGCATAGCGATGGTGATCAGAGGGAAGCAGGTAAGCACAGATTTTTGGCTGGTGAGTGCAAATGGATCTCAATATAAACTCATTTGGATTGTTAGTACTGTTTGTCCTTCTTGTTCCCTAACCCTCACTAATTAATTCCCAAGTCAGAAAAGGGTGATGTCACTGTTAAGACCATATAAGCAAAAATAGTCCTTCCCCCCTGCCCCTCAGTGCAGTACTTAATCTTATCTTGTACTAGTTTAATTCCTCAGTTTTGCTGACAGGCTGCAAGAACTTGAAAGGACAGAAAACCTTCTCTTCTGACAGTCTGGTAGGCAAGTAAATGCTCCTTGGGCCTATAGGATCCATACACCATTCATTTTGTGGATTTATTACAAACACCTCTCTACACACTGCAATGCTTAAAGAATCAACGTAATAGAAACAGCACATGGGTGTATTTCTTCACAGAAATCTCAAAATCTTTGTAAACAGTGGGGAGGTGGTCAGCAGTAATTCTGTGCCCTTTAATTGAAGTAGAAAAGTCTCTCTTTATTGTGGATGGAACTAATTTTTGGAAAAAAAAAGTTTATATTATAGAAAAGTTTCCATGTCCTGTAGATGCCAAGCGTCTTTCACTTATATATAATTTGTCATGATATCTAAGAAGTAGATATCTAAAAGGTATCTAAAACTAGGTCTGTGATTTAATTTGCATCATTTGAGGTGAGGAAGTGTAAAGTTTAAGATTCCAAGTGAAGGACGAGTTAGTCATGCTTCAATTTTGTGCTTTTTAACATAATTGGTAAACTATTAACTTTGTGGTTTTTATAAAGAAACGAGCACTTTTTGCACACTGAAGTCTCAGCATCATTCGTCTCAAAGTCAAAGAACATGAATATAATCTATGCAACTTATTGTTACGTTGCTTTGGGGAAAAAAAAAAAAAGCACAGGGCTAATAGAAATACAGTCCACTACATTCTTTTAAGAATGACTAGAAGCTGAAAACCCTGCACTTCTTAAAGCATCTATAGACAGAACCGTAGTGTATGCTTCCTCTCTCTGCAGCCGTTCTTCTGATCACTATGTTCCAATCTTCTTTTTATTGACAACTAAGTCACTAGTGAAACGTTATTAACTGAGTCTTAGTTAATAAAACACTGCAAATTATTTGTCAAGTATCATTTCTACTTGTCAGCATTTGCCTATCAAAATGAAAAGGATGCATCACTCTGAAATCAGTGGAAAGGTTTTTCTTCTGCCTTAGCAGAAGAAATCAATGACTGATAATTCCCAGAACATTTTCCTCTTAGGTTTACATAATACGAATGCAAACACCGGAAGAGGAGAGATGCTTTGGGACCCTTGTTTTCACAGCAGCTGGAATCCATTTAACTTACGATTTTTTTCCAGTGTCTCTGACTTCTGAGGACCAGAGATTAATATTAAATATTGACTAGAAGCCCAGAATACATCTGCTAGTGCCATTAACAGAAGGGCTTAATTTATTCCCAGAGAAATGATAAATTTAAACTAATCTCTAGATGCTGTATTTTAACCTTCTCTCTTCCTGTCACTAAAGCTGACAGAACTGTGCTATGGTAGTTCTCTGTGATAGGCCAGATACTTTGAAAAAAATTATTCAGTGTTTTTGTGAATTGTTTTGGGAAATATCACTACAATTGTTTTCTGTGGTACTTTCGGTGACACCTTCTGCTCCTTTCTTTGTCATATGTTGTAGGCTATAAAAAGGCATGAATCGCTTACAAGCATAAACTTGGAGAAGAAAGCTCAGTGGAAAGAAGAAGCTACTCAGAGTACATCTGCTAAACCGTAGAGGAAGAAATGGAGAAACCAAGGATGGGGGAAGAAAAGCCTGAAGTCCTCCTCAGCTCTTGGAGGAGGATATAGTCACATCATCCTTGTATGTTCTGTACTCTTGTGTTCAAGAATGAATACTTGTGATCATTAAAAACAGAAACATCTGTTTTTCTTCCTGGTACCTTCCCCTTTCCTCCCAACTCTCTTCCTCAAGCCATGTAATTTTATTTCCTTCATTAGTTAATTGAAGTAATAACTAACGTCATCCACTATCACTACTACAGGTCCCTTTAAAAAGAGTGGTGCTATACGTATTCTGTACTGTTACAGGCTGCCCAAATTTTTCTGTATGTTCTTTGTGTAAGAGAGAAAAACTATTAAGGAAGTCCTTGAGTCGGGAATAATTACATGACTGCATTAACATGGTCAAAATGATCAGAAGTTATTAGAAAGTCTGCTTACTTACTTGTTCCAGGTCCAGTATATTCTGGCTACCTCTGTATAAGTCAAGGATTACTTGTCTTCTTTGCTAAGAAGAGGAAAAGGAGTGATAACCCTGGATACCACAGAAACGATGTACTGCACGACAACCTAACATTTTTTACACTGGAGTTGCTAGTGAGGTGAGAGGAAATTCAAGTTAAGAGTACAGAGATGAGTATTTTGACAAATACTTCAGCCTGTGCTATCAGATATGCTACTTAGAGGCACATGAGTATAAGAAAGTTAATCAAGCATTTCTTCTCTCTGCTGCCAAGCTCCTTTTTTCCAAAATTTATTTGGACTTATTTGCATATTTTCCCTTTAAAATGCCACCTGTACTTTCACTTGCTAGCCCACATAAAGATCACCTGCCTCAAGTTTCAGAAGCAGCAGACCCAGTAACACCTGCAAAGAGCAACTCCCAGTAGTCCTGTTTCTGGCATTCATCCCAGAAGCGTCACGTACTGTTCATGCTAAACAGCACACAGCAACTGGAGACCAGTATTTTTCCCTCTTCCTTTCAGATCATTTGGAAGGAAATGTAGATTAGGACCATCAGGACTGTTCAAAACCATGTATTTTCCCAGGACTGCATGCTGACTGGCCCCTGGGGACTCCAGAAACAGAAGAGGCATGTTTGACAGATGTAGTTTGTGAATATCCTGATTGCGGGAGGCAGATTATTTTTCCTGAATCTTTTCAGTTTTTCTTGTACTACTACAAATTAGCAATATTACTGAATTAAAAGCCCTTCAAAAATGCAGGATAAACCTTGTATTTATAATTGGAAAGAAATAATGAGGTATCTAATGCAGTCCTCTCTAGTACTTTGTCCTTTATTTTACAGTTAGAAAATAAATAACTGCTTCAGTCCATCTTTCTATGAATTGCATTTCTGGCTACCCATACTACAGAGATCTAACCAATCCTAGAAGCCATACAGTCATTCCAGAGAAGTTTAAAGCAATCAGATGATGCTACAACCCCTTATCAGACTCTCACTAAGACAATTATTAAAAGTATGCTGTCATGCAAGCAGAGCCAGCTCCCACAGGTTTGTCCGTTCAGTTAATACTGAATGCAAGTCATGCTTAATTCCACTGCAGGTATGTGAACAGATCTTTCATGACTACACCAGTAAGCATATAGGTCAGAATCAAAAAGTCTTACCAGATTATGTGCCTGTGCTTGTGCATTTATTAAATGAGACCAAGGAGGAAAACATCAACTTCAGGCAATATTTCAGGTTACCACAGATAGAAACTGGTGATTTGACTTAGCTTGGTGATGGTAGAACTTAAAACCAGAAAGTGTTCTGCTTTCAAGAAGCAGTATATTCCGAGTATATTCTTTGAACAGAGCTAGAAGGTACCTCATCTAGTTTTGTATATAAAACCATTCGGACTCATCCAGCTGGTAAAGCATTTCAAATAAAAATATGTAAAATACCACTCAGAAAGCAATGCCCAGAGCAGCAATGATCAATAGTTTTACATTTTGCTCAAATATCTATAAGCTTTATGCCCACGTACTCGAAAATTCAAACCCTGGTCCATTAGTTTGACAGAAGCTCCATTTAGTAGTCACATCATATGGGTCATAGAATGGCTTGGGTTGGAAAAGACCTCAAAGATCACCTAGTTCCACCCCCCTGCCGTGGGCAGGGACACCTCACACTAAGTCAGGTTGCTCCAAGCTCCATCCAACCTGGTCTTGAACACCTCCAGGGATGGGGCATCCACAGCTTCTCTGGGCAGCCTGTGCCAGTGCCTCACACCCTGAGTGAAGAACTTCCTCCTAACATCCAATCTAAATCTCTTCTTTTAGTTTAAAGCCAATCCCCCCTTCTTGTCCTGTCATTGTCTGCCTGAGCAAAGAGTTGCAGAGTACCCCAGAGCTTTTTCCCTGCTGAACATCCCCAGCTCTCAGACTTTCTTCATAGGAGAGATATATCCTTATATCCTTTCCTTATATGCCTGGTATCACCACCATTTCTGGATCTACCATAAAACCTGTTTATCACTGCACTGGTTTGTTTTCTTTCAGCTTCCATGTAGGCTTCATGGTCTCAAAAACCTGAGCATGGGCTTTGTGCCTTCTCCAGCTCACTCCCAACCATGGCAGTATTTTATTTTATTTTTTTTTGCAAGTAGCATACTAGAAAAATCTGAGAGGGACCATGAAAGTAACCACCTCTTTCCTAGTACTTCCTAGCTTCTAAGAAAGCACTTCCGAACACACTGTTTTAAAAACTTCATGTCTCTGCCTAAGCAGCCAGCCTAGCTGACTGGAGAACACCCCACATCACCTGATTAGGTCGTAGCTTTAGCCTACGCTATTATAACAGTGCCTGATGAAATGGAATATATTAAGCCCTTAGAAAAATATTTCCTTTCTCCCCTCTGGCTTGGTCTGCAACACCATTTATGTTTATTCTAAGTAGTAAAATCACTAATCCTACACCATATGCCTTATCGCTGTACCTCTTCCAGATGCAACAGATACTTCCCAATACAATGATCGATCTCACAACTTGAACGCTGCCTCAGAAGACCACGCAGGAGCCCTATGTACATTGTAATAGTACTACACAGATACACTGTTTATTTTCTGACTAAGACAGGCATCTGAAAAAAAAAAAAAAACAAACAAACCTTAACGCCTGCTAGCTAAAATTGGCATGTGAAAGTACTAATGACGTGTTGTGCCAATCCCAGAAGAAAAGAAACCATACTGGAAGACATGGGGAAGTACTTAAAGCTGGCACAGAGCTGAAAACTGCCCAAAAGTAAGATATCTGTCCCCGCAAATCCTTAGGAAAGCACAGAGGTGCATCACCAGGAGCATCATCACTTTCAGAACTGGGTGGTGGGATTTGGTTCTTAACAATCTTAGCGCTGATGTTACAGAAATGCAGGGTCAGGAATACACGTCTTCCTGGGTCAACGTCTTCCTGTCTTCCCTTAAGATTAAAAGAAGAGACTTTGACCAACAGTATTTAGTTGGCTTCAAAGAACCAACACAGAAATACAAGAATGGGCTGAAGTCTCTAGGCAGTAAATGATTGTTTGCCTCCGTGGTGTATTCTCAGGAGCCCCAAACACTGGTCCTGGCTTAGTTGCTGAAATTTTGTTAACTTTCTGCCCCACTACCTCCTGTATCTTCCTGAATCTAAAAGAAGAACCCTGTGTGCAACATTCTACTGGGATCTTTACCAACAGAAAGAATTAAAAATTCTGTTTGCTGCCCCAACAAACACAACATTTAAAGGCATTACAGGTCTGCAGACAGGACGGTTAGATAAAAATACCAGACAATCCTGCATCTTCCTTGCCCTAATGCCCAATGTAAAGTTTGGCGCTGTTAAAACCTGACAGTTCCTTAGTGATGCTCCAAGAACAACTCAGAAATTCTTGGTTCTCACGAATCTTCTCACCTTAGCAGCTCACAAGGCTTCTGGAATTTGCCTACATGGGGTCTCCACAAGCAGAAACAAATGCATTAACTTCCATTTATACGGTAAGGGAAGCAGAGAATATGTGAAATCCCTTTTCTGGCACTATACCCTGCATAGCAGAGCTAAGAGAAGAATCAAAGACATCAAACAGTTTCCTGGCATATCCTCTGCTTATTAGATGGTGCTGCCTCCTAGCTGTACACAAAACAAGAACAGATCACTGCAAACAGTGGAGGAGGCTACAGGCATTCTCTGAGTTAGTTCCATCTGAATTGCAACATACTCTTTAGGAAAGCAGAGAATACTGGTTGAAATGTTTCTAACAGCAAACGTAATACTTGTTATTCTCGTATCAGTCTGGCAGTTATTCTTGAGGGTAAAAAATGCCTTTTTTCTCATCTGAATCGAACCTCACACCTTTTAACAGCTGTTGTTGCTCCCAGTTTCGTGTCTCTTTTTAAGTGAAAATAGCAACACTGAGAATGCTCCTGTAAAAAAAAAAGTTTCAACAAAGCTGAACGTGAAGTTCACATAATTCCCCATTTCTACTAAAAGATTTCTTTTTATACCTATGAGAATTACACTAGCCACACAGAATCATGTCAGGTAACCAGTATTCAAGTGATAATGTATAATGAACCTCAGACTTTTTCAGAGCACTTTTCCTTCAAAACAGAGTCCTTCGCATGTGGCCTGAATGTCATTTATTAGATGGGTAATGTAACACCACACATTTGGCTCTATCAAATGCAAACAGTCTGATTGCCCTTGGTTTACCAAGTAATTCTGATCAGTCTCTATCAGTAAACTGTTCCTTTCATAATTCATATGTCTTCTCCCCTCCATACTCATGTAATTTGCAGCGTTTGTTAGAAGTAGTATTTCTTTTCAAGTCATTAATAAGGCTAAGTAAAGCAAGGACAAGAACTGGTTGCTGGAAGATCCTGATGAAAATACACTCAATTAAGCACCATTTAAAATTAAATTGAGACCTATGAGTTAGCCACATTTTAATCCATTTAATGTGTGCCATGTTGACTTCTGTATTGTTTTAGTTTTCAATCAAAATATTACGCAGTACCAGTCAAATGCTTTACACAGTCTAAGTATATATGACAACAATATTACCTGTGTCAAACCAAGCCTGTCACTTCAAACAAACATACCAAGTTTAAAGATTTATACTTATCTGCTCTGAATTCACATATCCACTGCAAAAGTAACAAACACTGGCTAGGCTCCTTACACAGGAAGGCACACCATTCAGCTTAAATGGACTCTTTTTTAATTCACTCATTTAGAGGCAACTGTCATTTTTTTTTCTTGGGGGCAGGGGAGGGAAACGCCAATGCACCACATTGTTTTCACTAGCCTGGAAGAGAAAACACTTATATATATATATAGATATATAGATATATAGATATGTATATATATACACACCTACATATTTGTGTGTATATATATACACAGGTGTGTGTGTATATATATGTATATATACACACAAGTGTATATATACACAGAATATACATATATGAATATACAGAATATATGCACACACACTTTGCTCAGATTTGTTTACAAAATATGTAGCATTTTTATACCATCCAATAAGAGGTAAATGATTTTAAACAAATCTTATAGAAATGACATGTTATTGGAAATTTACACGTAAAAAAATCCAGCACAAAAAAATCCAAAAGCTAAAACAAGATTTTGCTACTAATCAGTGCTTCTATCACCCTTCAAGAAAAGAGAAACACAGTTATTTATATGTGATGTAAAGGCAACATTGAGGGTTTTTTTGTTTTTAAATTAACCACCAAATTTAACCCCCTAAAATTACAAAGAATCAAAGTCCATTTACAGATCAAGTGCAGTAAACTAAATGTTCCTTCAGCACAAAGCAGCACTAGAGAAAATAATTGGGAGAGGGAAGGTGGAGGCCATCTGGCTTAGCTAGGGAGGCAGCAGGTGGCTTCTGCAGTGGCCACACAGGTCAGAGTCTCCATCCTGAAGCACAGACAGAACTGAAGACTGTATTTAAATAATGGTCACACAGAGCTGATGTTCAGGCCTTTGCCTAGCTTCTTTCAGCAGTTTGACAAGTGACGTTATTTTATTATTTTTATTTTATTTATTTTTTTTAAACTCTGAATCCAATGGGCTGGTTTTGCTTTTGCAGTGGCTTGTCACTGAGAGGAGTCATAAAGAGGATCTTGCAGACAGTTCTGCCACTAACATTTACCACAGGTACACGACGCTGCAGATGTTAGTGGCATTTTTGAAATGCTTACACTGGACAAATGTGTGTTCCAAACGTCCCAAATGGCTTGCAAGAACATAGCCCGATGCCAGGGGGAGCAGACAGCCTGGAGAATCCATTGCATTTACAGAAATGGAACTGCCACTTTCAATCA